GGGTATCATGTGAAATACAACTAAGATAACGCTGTGATATTGGCAAAAATTGTATAAAGTGCCTAACGCCTACTGAAGAATTGTCTCATTGAGTAAACTCAAACATTTCTGAAGTGGGGATTTTAAACAATGGGAAACACTTTTTGTGCATGAAAGCAAGATTGTTTGCGCGTTTTCGAGCGCTACTGAACATGCACTTATTCAGATGGCGAAGTGAAGGACGTCACGTCAGAGCACGTTCTGGACTACTGCAAGGTGCATCTGAAGCCATCGCGAGACATGGACCTTGAGTACTTCTCGTCGCCGGCATCGCTCATCGCCGCGCTCCAGATCGACTTCGAGCACGACAAAGAGGTAAAAGGCATCTGATTAGAAAGTTTCAAAGAAGTCGTGCAGCGTATACATCTTTATATCAGTGGAAAAGGGAATTTCTGTGCTAGAAAACACTATCACGGCATCTTTACAAAATTTTCCGCTTATTTCACAGGGTCTGTTGTTCCGTTGTCCAATTCATAACGTAATTTGTTCATAATCAATTCATAATCATAATTAAATTAATCATTAATTATCAATCATTAATATCGTCATCATCATTAGTCAACTAACTAATTAATTGATTCATAATCATAATTCAGTTCGTAATTGTGCCTTTTCCATGAAAGCAAGTGCAAAATTTGGGTTTTTAAAGGTTTATTAGATAAGTGCTATGGAGAGCCCTTACGCATGCTCCATTTATAACTTTCAATTGAAAGGAGCTATAAAACTCACTTTAAAAGTGGTAGCTGTGAAGCAGAAAGAAGAGGCTGGTAACCGTAACCTTTTGAGATAACCATGCTTCTTACGATTTCTAATCAGTCACAAATTGTCCACAGGCATAGTTTGTTCTGGTTGGTTGCACAAGCTTTCTACGGACAGTTCTATAGTCATTGTAATGCTGAGATATTTTTAAAACTCCGGATCGCACGGACCGCAGGTGTCTCCGGTGGGGAACGAACGCGCTATTGTCCTTTCCGGGGAGTAACGCGTTCACCACCACACCATGCGGGTCCTTCGTTTCGCCTGTCTCTCAGCTAGTTCTATCGATCTTATGCCATCAGCAGTTCTATAGTCAACGACACTTTCTCTTTAGGTTACCGTGATACAGACTTCACTACTATTCTTCATAGTGTTTTTTATTCTGTGCTTTCGTAGTCCGACACGTGTACTTGTCAAATTCGTAGTCCTATTCCGAGAATCAGAGGACACAGCGTTATTTGTTGACGCTTGGACTATATAGTGAGAAGCGATTGACATCTGACACCACGACAACGCTTGGGTAGGCGCAAGAGATGCCTTGGCATCACCAGCGAAATCCAGTGTGGAAAAAACGCTGGAAATTCTTTTATGGAGTGTTTTTCATAACGGGACGAAATAATATAGCTATCGCTAGTTATCCTTCTTTCAAATCGGTTCCGAATAAATATTTCTGTTGCTGAGCGAGACGAACGCTTTGGGTGTTTCTTTTTATGAAAGTGCAGTTGGTGGTCGAATTGTAGACATTGTGTTTAGCCAGTTTCGTAATGGAACGCTAGACAAATGAAATTGGAAAAAACTGAGAAAGTCGGAGAACTATTCGATGTAGCGAGGCTTTTCATAGCTTCGTCAGTTTCTCTCTGTCGGACAAGTTGAACAAATTTCTGGCGCGGAGCTTCATTTCTCACACTTATAAGGACTGAAAGAGGGGCAATTGAGATTTTCTACTGCTTAAGCCAAGTGCAAACTTATTATTCCGTTTTGAAAGAATACGTTGAGTACTTCAATCAAAGCCATTTGTGTTAGTAAAGAGCGCTCAAACGAAAGTCACTGAGGGAAAATTTATTCGACTGACACGATCTCGAGCAGAACAAGTCAATACATGGGGATAGCCTGTAGAAATTTCTGAGGTTCCGAAACATTCCATAGTTCTCCAAGAAAGAAAGCAATTAAATGGATCAGACAATTTGCTGTATGTTCTTTATAGAAGTTGGAAGGAATGAAAGCGTTAAATTTTTAGGCTGTCCTTGTTTTTTCTTCGATAGATGAATTATTTAACCTTATCGCTTACCTAATTCTTGAATTCAACTATTGTTCTACTTTGAACTCATTGAAGACCGTATGAATAATATCTGATTCATACGGTGCGAAAACGGTGGTCGTCATCTATTTCCAGCTGATATATCTCGTAATATAGTAGATTTAATCAATTGAAATAAATATCGAAAGGAGCTACAGCTCTTTGCTAATCAGAAGAAAGTTTTCTTGTTTTACGAAGGCTAAATTCTAATTTTTTGGTTCTCGTAAACCGCATTTCTCTGCTTTTCTTCATTGAGGCTCATATTTCCAATAAGGAAGCCATTGAACAAGAGGAATTTCGTAGATTATAACGCGATGTTGTTCTTTAATGTGTCGTTTGTGTTTGAATCTGGCACATTTCGTTTTAAATTTTGAAAAGTTAGGTATCTTTTCCCATTTTTTTGGCGCAGTGTGTGCTTTCATGTGGCTAATTTGCCAGCGTACTAGACAAGGTTTCCTCTAGGGTATTTTGCTTCGAGGAGAGGAAAGTGTGGAAGGTTATCGCAATGTGCTGTCAAAGATCCACTACTTCAACACCAGACCAGACAGTTACAGTAAGCGCATCTACACCGTACAATGCGCAATGCTCAAAGGACGAGTTTTGAGCAACGAATTGGTGATTACGGTAGGTGGTCTTATTCTTCATGGTCAGTGATTTCGTAGTGTCAATTCTTTACTTGAATCATTTAGCTTGTTTAACAGTAAATTCGTAAATTCTTAAATTGAGCTAATTCCTTCTTAAATTTTAGAAGGTTACGTTAATTTTATCTCGTAAAATTGTTGTAACTACTAGTGGAATAACATAATCCTTTTTCGTTTAGCTTATGATTAACCTCTGCAGATCCAGTTTTAGTTCAAGTTCCATTTTTTATTAACTATTTGTGTGCTTCCACGAAAGAGAGTCTCTCAGCCATCTGATGGCAACATTCTGACGTCGTTTTAACCCTTAGCGTCATCTGTTTCTTTTAGAAGTAGAGTGGAGTTTGTTGCTTCAATGCGTTCCGGTAGGTCGACTATTGTGAGGTTGTGATAATTTCAGAGTTCTCTTAACTTGTCCTTTAGTCGCTAGCATTCGCTTCTGTTTAAGCCATTCATTTTGTTTTCGATTTCGGTTCAGATGTTGGACTTCTTCCTTCTATCAAAGTGGAAGTTGTCAAAAGAAATTACTGAAGCGAGACCTAGGTACGCTTTGATGAGTTGGAGCCTGAGCTCCTGACCACAATACCAAACTATTTTGGCTATTCGAAGTTTAATTTTAGGAGTTTCCGCACATATTTAGACATCATCTATTGAAGACGCCGACATTTGTGCTTTAGGCTACTATCGATGTTTAATCTACGACCACCAAGAATGTTTTTTTCATGAGTAATTGGTTTGCGTTTCATCGTTCTCAGCTCTATGCCCTTTTCTTTGCAATTCGATTACTGTCAATTGGAAACCAATTCACGTCTTTCTCCGTTTGACATGCCTTAATAAAAAACGTCTGGGCGCTTTTCATTATCCTTCTTTTTTTCTACTTTTTTTTGTCATTCCTCAACGGGTGTTTTCAACATTTCTTCTTTGCTGAGTTGTGTGTCAAGTGTTCCCGTATGAACACAAATTATGAACTGCTCATTGCATCGTCTTTCACAGTCTATACATGGATTAGCACGTGTATAGCCAAAGTGGAGTTTCTACCTAAGACTGTTTTCCTTCTTGTCAAATCTGTTCACATTTCCAACAAGCCATGCAGGTCTCTACCATTAGAAGGTCACTGCGTTGGCGTCCATAATTTTTCGAAAAGAAAGCGAGACACTAGGAATTTTTTCGCTGCACTTTGAGACAATGAACGCCATAGAAGCAACAGGGGACAGCAAATGACCAAAATTGCCTGTGCCTTCCTGGTAAGCCGACACTGCGCTGAGGATTTTGACACGCGTCCTTTTATTGCTTGGGTACTGCTGGTGTACTGAACAAGTGTTCCAATCACGCCGCTTTTGTGTTATTCTTCTGTGTAAGACTGCAATAATTAGGTCCAGGTCGGAGAACTGAAGTTAGTGTAAAACGAAGAGAAACTCGACTTCCGGGAGAAAAATCTTAGATTTCGGTTCTTTTACAACGTAACCGATTCTTCTGCCAAATTCAGTTTAGTAACACAGAAATTTTGAGGTTCATTCTATTATAGGACGTTTCGCCGGGCAGCTTCCGCAGTTGTTTTATGCAATGAACCTTGCTGCATCTCAATTTTAGAATGCGAAATTGCTTCCAGGAAATTCTAAATTGAAACCTTCCTGCTTTTTCCTTTGGAATATCTAAACACTTAACGTTTCGTATTCTACAGCAGGACCACTCCGCTCCCATTCATTCTCCGGAAAATTTAAAGCTGTTTTTTAAGAACATTTTTCAGCGCACAAGTACATCTGAGCTCAGCTTGGTCATTTGCTCTTCTAAGCATCAGAGAAATTCGCAAAGCTCAAACGTCGAACCGCAGATACGTATCTCAAAATTCCATCGTAGAAACATCGGTTCTTTGGAACTCGTTAATGGAAGCGGATTGTTGTCCTAATCGGGAAGGTTTCCTGTCACTTCCGTCACTGTAAGATTTCTTCCTGGTTTTTCGAGAAGTTCTATTAATTCCGATGCTTTAAAAACAAATTCGACGTCCTGCAGTTATCGTACAGGGCGAAGTTGAGTTTTTGGTTCCTTTATATTCCCAATGCTCCTTCAAAAGAGAATGCGACATGTTCTTTTTTTCCTTCACAGACACCTTGTCCTGCATTTTGGTATCTTCCTAGCATTACAAATGATTCTTATCGAGCAGTTGCTAACACATGACGTTTTTATGAGAAAGGTGTCTCATTCTTCAATTAATAGTATATGGTTAAAATTTCCCAATTATTTACCAGTTTCAATGAATACTGCTTTTTCAGATGTCTATCGTGCCTTCAAGTTCTGATACTCCTCTCATTCCTTCGATCTCGTCCACAGAAAATTTTGACGGCTTGGATTTGCTTGAACATCATTTCGAACCCGCATTTGACCAACTAGGTAGTAATCGGCTACAGAACATACTCGAAATGGATTTGCCTCGACCGAAGGCGCTTCTCTCACATCATGGGTACGACACTGGACAGGACGCCATAGCAGGTAGCGCAGTGCCACTATTCGACATATTTTCTTATGGTTTTTGTTCTTTGCGTATTCTTCAGGTGGGGCTGTCGCAGTCGTTGTGGTGGTGTGTATCGGATTCCTACTGGTTCTTCTTGTGGTCGGAGTGTTAAAAATGAAGGACACTCCGTTGCCACGCAAAAGAAGAAACAAGCAACAGGTCTAATTTCTGGCATATTTTTGAGCATATAGGCGTTGGTGTCATGAATATTCATTCAGGATGACGGCATGTCATGGGACGACTCTGGAATGAATATCACGGTGAATCCATTAGATGATGTGGGAAAGAATGGCATTGAAAAGGAGTTCAGTGAAGACGATGAGAGCAGCGACGGGGAGGAAAGGTGTGCCTTAAGCGTGTTCCATCAAGAAGATTTATTGTTGACAAATTTTGAGTCTGCTCTCTAGCTGGTCTCCTTTAGCTGAGAGACAGGCGAAACAGAGGACCCGCATGGTGTGGTGGTGAACGCGTTACTCCCCGGAAAGGACAATAGCGCGTTCGTTCCCCACCATAGACACCTGCGGTCCAGAGTTTTGCAAATATCTCAGCAACGTTGTGGTTGTATTTCGCTTAGTACCCTGCCGCGAAATTATAGTAGGCAGAAAATAAAAAGGTATAACATTCATAGAGCTGATTGAATACATATCTGCTCTACACAATGACTTGCGGTGGGCTACCGATGTATCAACTCAGTGTTATTCTTCTCCCAGACAATTCCACTACCAATTTATCGACCCAGAAAGGACGGAAAACTCATTGCGGCAGGGGCGCACAATCGGACCAACAACCAAATGTTTATTACAGGGCTCCTCTAACCACTGTGCTACATGCTCCCCTTATCTCAGCGATCCCTTTTAATATGTATTTTGATTTCTCAATGTGACTTTAGAATGGAATCACGCCATCATGCTTTATTTTCCGTTGGTTGGAAATGATTGTCTTAATCTCGTAAATTCTCCTGAAGAAAGGAACAATTTTTTCTGTCTAGCTTTTAGAGGATCCTTTACGTTTCTTGTTTTACGATGCCTCTATAAATAAATGCTTACTCAACAATTTCCGCTCGTTTGGAAGACGTCAAGACGTTTCATTGTGAAGTTAATCCTCCTGAAGCTACTGTAAGAAAGACGGCTGCTGTTTTACATAACTGTTGTGAACGTTGCTTTAGAACATCTCTTTTCGGAATATGCACACATTGATGTCTTTGTTGTGAACTGCTAGACTTTCGAGGTTAGTTTTATTGACGAAACAAATTTGTTCCAGTGACGGTTCGTTTCGAGAAGATGAGTTGTCGGACGGGGAGATCGCTCCGGAAGTGCTGCCTCACCTGGACAACCAACGTGGTGGTCTGGAGTGGGATGACGATGCTGTCATGACCACTTCCGCCACCAATACCCGCTCTTATCGTCTTTAATTAAGTAGAAATAGGTTCAACAGCTAATGTTGGTATACTTCTCATAGAAGAAATGTTGCTAGCCAATTTTTATTATGCTTAACCTGGCGAAATCCATCACTAAATGCTTTGTATTTTCACGCGAACAGAACTCTTTTTGACATTATAGAACTATTCAGTCCTAACCTGAGTGAATGAATAAGCCTCAAACAAGGGGCGATGATGAATCCATTCACCATAAAAGAGGCATGTAAGCGCGGAAATATAATATATCCGAGGGCGCGATCTAAAATCAAAGGGAGAACTTGCCACGATTTGACAAGAGTACTGGTTAGAGGCGTTCATTTTCCGTTTCGTTCAGAATCAGTCTACTGTCTCTAGTGGTAATGGTTTTTGCTGTTATATTCATCACTTAGGAATCCCGAACTAGTGCCGGCCTCTACAAATGACTAGTGGAAGATTAGAGTGGAAGAAAGACGTTAGGGAAAATGATTCCCCGTAAGGAATTTGATAAAGTTCGGCCAGGTGGCCGACGTTTCTTCCAGTGTGTAGTCCCGTAATTCCACTAGACATCAGCTGGTGATCCACTAACTGTATTATACGTGTGCTGACTTCAGAGATTGTTGTCTAAATCACTTTGTTCACGTCGCACAGATTTTTATCGCCACACCACCATCGTAATTTTTCTGTTTTCTCGTTTATAAATTTGTACGTGGATTTTCTTTACTTCATTGGATTTCATTTTCATCTTCAGTTTCTCTTAGTCATCTACCACTCTGGTCTGTTGTGTTGTGTTTCGTGTAGAATTGTCTCATATTTCTTGGTCTGCATTCATTTTGTGTTCATATTCGTATTTATTTCCTTTTGAATAATCACGCCCATAAGCAATTCGAATTCGTTTATCTCAAAAAAAGTTTGTACGGTTGCCTCCGTCCCTCTGTCCCACTCATCCTTACATCGGTGGTTTCATTACTACCGTATCCTCCGTTCTTCGATCTCATGGTGTATCAGCTTCATAATAGGAGTAGAACATACAAATTTTTTGATCTCTATCGTAGAATTTTCGTCTTCGACATACTCGGAATGTCCCATTATGTAACATACAGATTTTTTTCTCAAATAAACCTTTCCAATATTTCTTAGCTGAAGTGTAGGTTTCTTATGTTTAGTTAATGGTTTAATAAAAAGGATAAAGGATAAAGCTGTTGGCATTGATCAGTCCCTGAGGGATGTGCCATGTATTCTACATCATTAAGCATCGTTTGGAGGTGATTGAGTGCATATCTGGCCTTTACAATGACTCACAGTGGCCTACCGATGCATCAACCTAGTGCTGCTATCCTCCCAGACAAGTCTGCTACCAATTTGCCAACCCCGGAGGGATGGAAGGCTTGGTGGGCCATGGTCTTGGGGATCGCTTCCACGTGTCTGTTGCAGGAAGCCTCCGACCACTGCGTCACATGCGCCCTTAGTACTCTAATAGCCTCTGAATCTATCCATCAGTAAGAGCCCTTGGGTCGAGCGCTTCCTATTTCTACTCGTCTAGCAGAGAGATGACGATATTCATGAATGTTGTGTCGGGCATTTAATGAACATCATTCAGAAATTCAATTTAAGCTTAATGATATTTTAAATGTTACCAGAACAGCTGGGCAGGTGGCCATTTTCATACTCCTGCGACATTTTGGTGACGTCGCATCTGCTCTGATGTTCAATTATGACGAGAGAGATCTTAGAATATGACGAATAACAACAAAAAGAATTTAATAATCAGATAGCAAATGCTGTTCTGACAATCTCCTTCACAAAAGCCGAAACAGCGTAAATTAGGCGGTAAAACTATGATGACACAAAACGAGATGGATCTAACAGAACAATGGATTCCGTTTGTGCACCAATAAATGGTAATGGTCATCATTAACAAAATGTTCGTTAGGTTATGGAAGAGTCGCAGTTTCGATTGAGAGGACGCCGTCATTGACGACGGCTGAACAAAAAGCCGAGGGAAGGGACGCAATATGCCTCACAAGAAGTGAAAGCTTCGGCGGATTTCGCCTTCTTCAAGGCATGGAAAGGTTAATTTGACAGCAATCTACTCAGCCAAGCACCTCCATGACTCCAACAGAAAATCACGGGTCCAAGCTTTCAATCGCACTGAGGACAGTACAGCTACACATTCACCACATTCTGTGAGTCTTCCACTGAGCATTTCACGTGGAGACCTACCGAACAGAACTCACACTGACGGGTAATGTGTCTTTCTCACGTTAAAATATCAGTCTTCAATACTGTATGAGATCACGTGTGATTACGGGGTGTTCCTTTATGCAGTTCATTTTCGGATTCTTGAAATTTATCCATAATGCCTCAAGAGTTTCTCGCGCCAATGTTTTGGATTCCTGTGCTTTCAATGGGAACTTTCAATGAAATAAAAACTTAAATATTGTGTTACGTCTCATAAGAAGGCAAAGGCCCGGTTTGGAGAATTCGGTAACAGTGATTGAAGTACCACCGAGCACTCTAAGACTGCAGCTAGTTCATAAACGCCTGTATGACCGTCTATGCTCAACGCAAAACTACATAGTATGCTCTTAAGGTAGAAAGTGATTTTGTTGCTTGAGGTCGGATACAGTTTATCTGATCTCTTGCAAAGCGTATGGGAACGAATATGTTGCCGAGAAGGGTAGACCACTGTGCATCCGTACAAAAGAAGACCTAGTCGGTAAACCTAAAGTTAAACTATATGCTCTACTAGGCACACATAGGACGCAGAGACATAACGAAGAGGATTGTGAAGTAGAAGTTACAATTCCCGCACAGGAATCGAACACTTCCGTGCAAAACTCTCGAGGCATTGCGGATAAATTTCAAGGATCCAAAAATCGGCCGCAGACAGGAATGCCTGGTTATCACGCGATGTAAGACTAATATTTTAATGTGAGACAGGGACGACATTCTTTATGATTATTAAGAATTTTGAAAGAGAATCGGGAAACACAATCGTTTTTGGTGATACGCAATGATGCAGTGAAGTTTCAAGCATAGTTCTAGTGACAATCATTGCCACGGTGGCGAAAAATGTTTGCTTGAGAAGAAGAGCTCTTTCGACTACATTAATAAACGTGGATGTCAGTAGTATTCCGATCCCTTATATCATTTTTTATTGGCGACAGAAAGCTCATTAAATTTCCGATAGTCGCTAGTATTGGTAAAGTGTAGTCATGAATATTGGCTGGAGTGCAAGGCACTTAGGCTACTAATGAATTTCGTGGATGTGAGCCAATAAAGGACACTCGAGTGGTTGGTAATGAGGGAGACATGGTAAATCGAGATGTTGAGTCATTTAAGTTGAAAACATAAGAACTCAGCTCTTCCCTACTATGAAAGTGTTTTGAAACGGTCGGTGGACTGTTGAACATTCAAAAGTTGAACAGTTGGAAGAGATAGAACTTTGTACGATCGGTTTGTCTTCATAGGAAACTTATAGAAAGTGCAAAAGTAATGAAATGCGTTGCTGATAGGTCCAAGCGCCATAGATGATTGACATGCCACTTGAACGACATTTACTCTTTAAATACTCCTTTCAAAATAATGTGACGCTTTATGGATTTGCGAACAAGTATGCTGTTCAATATTAAACAAACATATCTTAGTTCATAGTGAATTTTATTAGTTAAATAATTAGAGAAAGTATGAAGGATAAAGCGTTCGGCGTTCGTCACTCTCTGAAGGAAGCGCCATGCATTCGACTTCATCCAGACTTCATCGTAGAGGTGACTGAATGCATATCCGGCCCCATGATTATTTGTGGAGATCCTATATATCAAGTCAGTGAACTTCTTGTTGAACATGAAGGAAGAATAAATATGCATGGCTTGTCCATCCAGCAGCTAATGGTTCTCTTAAAGGAGTGCCTAAACTGCTCGATTTTCAGATGGTCTGGGAAATATTTCGCACAAATAAGGGGGTTGGCAATGGGACAGCGATTGGCACCAAGCCTTGCCATTGTGTTTATGTCTAAAATAGAAGCCCCTGTTCTCGATCTCCGGCCACTACTCTACTGCAGATATGTAGATGATTGATTTGTCGTCTTCTCTACGCAGGAGGAGATGGACAAATGCTTTGAATTATTGAACGAGCAGTCCGAGTACATAAAGTTCACCCGGGAGAAACCGAGAGAAAACTGGCTTCCGTTTTTGGACGTCCAAATAAACCTATCAAGTAGCGGTTACCTGACAAAGTGGTATCGAAAGCCAAGTAACAAGAACATCCTTGTTCATTTCCTTTCTTCCCACCCTTCACACACAAAGAGGGCGATTGTGAGAAACATGTTTCGAACAGCCACCTCTGTGTGCACTACCAGGGAACTAAAGGAAGAGTCGCGCGACTTGGCTCGGCAAATAGCCATCTCCAATGGCTACGAAATAGTAACCCCACGAGATAAGTTTACAAGGAGAACGACGCGCCCACGCGAAACACTTGGCCAGAAGAAAATCCCGTTTATGCTGCCTTTTATAAGCGATGAAGTAAGCGTAGCTATAAAACGATGCTTAAGAAGGGCAGGTCTATAAGAATCGGTAGCGATAGTTGAAATACCACCGGCTACTCTACGTCGCCAATTAGTTCGCAACCGCCTGTATGACCGTCTGTGTGAAACAACAAATTGCGTAATTTGTCCTTACGGCAGGGACGGTGATTGCATGAGTTCAGGTACGATATACCTGATCTCGTGTAATAATTGCGGAGATGAATATATTGGCGAAACGGGCAGACCTTTGTGTATCCGTATAAAAGAACACCTAGATGGCAAACGAAAACTAAGACGAAGCACCCCACTCGGCACGCATAGGAGACAAAAGCATAGCGGAGATGATTTTGAAGTAAAAGTCAATATCCTTGCACAGGAGTCTAAAACACCAGCGCGAAAACTCCTTGAGGCTTTTTGGATCAATGCCAAAAACCCTACAATGAATAGCAGGAACGAATGCCCGGAGGTCATACGCGACCTGACCCCGTATGTT